CGAAAGCATGAAGGGCACCAAAACTTCACCATTCCATTTCATAAGGGGAGCAAGCAGGTTACCTTTCACCGGAAAGTCTAGAGTCGTAATTTTATCCCGGCAGCGAACTCTGAGCCACTCTGCGCACCCATACCCGGGATCTTTTCGATCTGGAAAAGCCCCCTTTAATACTCGAAAGCGCCGCTTCTTTTCCGGGCGCCGCGCCTTCGGTGGCCACGGCCTCCTGAATGTTGGCAAGACTGTTTCGGGCAAACTCTGACTGTCTGAACCCAGAATCCGAAATCCTAAACCTAAACCGGCGTATCTCTGAAGACAGTCTTGAGCAAGCCCGTCTTCTGTAAGCATATTAGGAGCACTCCTCAACCGCTGAAACCTCGCCGAAGGCCCATAAGGAGTGCAGAGATAGTTGATAAGATCTAAGGCCAGTGAATTCCATCCGGAAGCTCAGGATTCTGAGTTTAATCAAGGATGTTGGTGCCAGAAGCATTACATCCTCTTTTAGCTCCAGGCTTCGATCTTCGTTCGCGGTTGTGTGCCGTCCGGTAGACTAACATGGAACCCGAGCAGCCCCGACAAGCAGAGCCATCTTTTCACTCACAGGCCCAGCTAATGGAAGACTTCTGCAACAACTGCAGAAGCCCAAACTTGATAGTACTCATATACATATACATATACATACAAATAATCATATACATAAGCATAAAACATATACTTAGTATACATACACTAAAACATATACGTATACATTATGTGTGTAAATAGAGATACATACATACATACATACATACATACATACATACATACATACATATATACATAACTACGGAATACATGAAGCCAGATAGGAGCATGCTCTCCAAGACCAGGAAGTTCACATAGGCAGCGTAAGGTGAAGAACTTGAAACCCTCGCCCAAGGTCCCCACTACTCCAAGTTCCCTCACATGTTGATATGCGTAGGTATTTACCTACTCAAATTCTCATTGATGTGTTAGTATACTGCAATCTTCACCATATGTTGGCTTGTTGCTGGTTTTTCTTGTGTTGCTTTGTTGTCACTACTACGCACTCCCGTACGTTGCACCCCAGCCCCAACCCTGTCCCAGCCTCCCGTGGGAGGAACTCCGACGCCTTTGTCAATGTTGAATCAAGGAGGATTTGGGCTTCCACTGTACCAACTACAAGCAGCGCAAGTAGGGTTTGAAGTGCTTCATTGGGTGCAGCCACATCGGCCACGAGTTCAAGAACCATTCTGAAGGCTGATAGAAGCATCCGTGTTCAGGATGCTCAACTGCTTGACTTAAACCTGCTGCGCCGGTGCTGCAGAACTCCAGCCTCGTTCGTGGGTTTCGACGGGCTTTCCGACCCTGTAACATCTGGTTTTGTCAGCACTCCCCGGGTTCGACAGAACTTTGTAGTGTGTTGGTTCTGATTTCCAAGCCTTGAGAATCTACCTCTACATCCGAAACCATGAACCCACAAGATCACCAACCCCACTGAAAACCCTTGTCCCAATACCCTTCTCTTCCCAGTCGTGGTTTAGGATTCCAGGTGTCAGGCTCGTGTGCAAAACTTTTGGCCTTGCCCTCACCTCGAAGGAGTCTGGCTGTCTGCGTACTCCAAACCCTGCCCTCGTCGCCATGGAAGGCAGACGTACACCGAAGTTGCCATGCGCAAGGAGCCAGGGACTGGATCTAACCTCAAGATCCAGAGGTGCCCGGACTGTGGTTGTTTTGGAAACCCCGTCGAACCCTTAGTGACCAGACCCACCCCAACACCCGTGATAGCAAGACCGGGAAGTCTCTCTCTCGGAAGATGCTTGGCTCCCTGACTCCTGTGTTCATTGCGCATAGACCTGGGCGTCAAGGGGCTGTTGGAATTCAACGGTCGTAGTGTAGGCAGAAAATAGATACTGTCTAAGCGTTTGGGCCGAATCAATAAGACACACTGGAACTTGTTCTTGGGGCTGACGGTTCAGGCTGCTGAGACCCTCGGACTTGTTGCGATGGTTGGGGCTTCAAGGCGTTAACTAGGTCTGACGCGGTGTAGAATTCTCAGGTAGACCGTAATGTTGCAGAGTCGAAACGGTCCAGACGCCTGCACTCAGGACTATACATGTCTTTTGGTCTTTTGGGATCTAACATGACCTTAACCGTGACCCGACTTCTAGGAATCTTCAAACTATGCAAGAACGAGTCTCGGATCTCATATGCCATGCCCCCTCCTCCCCAGTCCAAGCGGCCTCTATGTATGCAGCGAACTGCGTCGGAATTGTCGCCGCCGTTACTCCGTCAAAGCCCCAAAGAAGAGTGCACTCCGCAAAAAATGATTGTCTTGAGCCTTGCAAACGAAAGCCGCGTCAAACATGCAGCCAAAGATGCGGCATGAGTTTAGGGCTTAGGGTGGATTCTAGAATTCATTGTTTTGGGGCTTCGGGTTGCGCATACCTACTCGACTCCTTCGCTTATGTGCGGAAGAATAATGATGGGAACAACTAGCACCTATAAAATAACAGCTAAACGACAGTGCTGGCTGTGAAGACCCGAAAACGTAACGGTTACAGTCACCATGATCATCGGCATTGTCGAATCATCTTTTCCAGACCTCCTGTCATCAGGCTGCACAACAGAGGACAAGGGCAAAGGTCTCTAAGTTGCACTGAATCGCCAGAAGCAACAACCTCAATTAGTTCTGAACCTGCCTCAAGAGTAAATGAGCCTCCTTTGAACTACACATTCTTGATTAATGATTAAACTGTTCCTCGGTCCATTTCTGCGTTGTGCGTTTTCGTCCACATGAACCCTTGAACTCCGAAACCAAGCCTCTTTTTCGTCATACTTCGCCACGCCGGCATGTGCTTCTCTAATTCGGCACCCGGTACGGCTCTGCCAGAGGGGATCCTACGCCAGTGGACTCTGACTTGGATGTGCTGGAGTAAAGTAGGTACACGTAGGATCGCACACGAGGTGATCGAAGCCAAATCTAATATTCTTGTGGCCCTGCTTGATGTTTAGGAGATAGCTTGAGAGTCCGGCTTTCATTAGCTCACCAGGTTGAGGCTTTCAATGTCTTGGGGTTTTGGCCTTGTACTCCAGAGAACCACGTTCTGCTTTCTACCGCAACCCGAGCCACAGACTCGGGAAAAGGCATCCGTGTAGAGGTTTGCAGTTAGGATCGAAGTTGCTGGGTGTGAGCTCCTTCCACGGTCTGGAAGTGAAGACCTGAAAGCATTCCAGCCTAAGGCAAGCGTTTTCAACAAACTGTGTGCCTCTGTGACAAAGCCGTACCTGCAGCACGTCTTGCAGCAGCAATGAGGCCACTGACATTTGCTGTTTGCAGCCCATTTGGGCTGAGACGGTGAAGAACAAGCTGCGATGCAGGTAAAGATAATATCCACTTCCGATGGGGTGTGTATACCTGAAGCTTATCATCATGCTGTTCTCCTCTGAGGCCAATGCTTCAAGATTTGGTTTTGCTCGATGCTCATGGCTCCAAACTGGAGAAAGGCACAGGATGGAACAGCGAACCGCCGGAGGGATCCGAACAAGGGCTCTGCAGTAGGACTCTTGAGGTCCTCAGGGTTATGAGCTATGGCAGTCTATTGAGTTGCGCGTTGAGCGCAGTAGCGAGAACCAAGTCTAAAACCCTTGGCACGCCTGATTAACCCACACTCTGCCTTCACATGGAAAGTCCAATGGTCTAAGACCCATGTACACCCCAAAAGTTCCGCCTCGGCTTTTCTGCAGTGCCAGAGGGTTTGGGACTCCGCAACAGACGGCCCTACGCGGACCAGATGGAGTGCTAGTCTCAGTCAGGGCAGGCTGAACCCCAAATGGATCGCTTCGGGCGTACTAATCCTAATCCTCGCTTAAGGCCCTGAGTTCGCTCCCTCTGGTGAATCCTAACGGTGTGGCAAGAAAGGCCATGGTCAATCCTCCAATCCGCCAAGATTTTGGCTACTGCTCCTGTGCTACGACTACTGCGACTGCTAAGACTACTGCGACTACTTGCAACGACCTTCAAGCCAGCAAGCTCCCAATGGTTTCAACAGCGACAGTACAAGCACTGCGTGTCATCATATGACAATTGGTGTTACTGACGCTGCTGCGGGCAACCGGCACGAATACTATGGAAATATGCTTGGCAAGAAGAGCTATGTCACGGAAACTCATTGTGACGCTTCTCAGCTTCTGATCCTGTTCTCTCCTCTCTGCGGGACCGGCATCTTGGAATTCACAGCGAGTTGGCCATGGCTGCGGCACACGCACACCCAGCAAAGCACGCCGCTTGTAGAGGGATCGATTTGAGGCCGCCTGGCAGCAGCATCGCATAGTCCATCCTTTGCTGAATCTTGGCAGCTTGTTGTCGCGCCTCCACTCTACACACTAAATCTCGTGAGATGGCAACTGCCACGCCACCTCTTAATGCACCGATGAGACCTTGTCAGCAGCATAGTGAGAAATGGCGAAAGCAGCGATGACGGTGATGTTGAAGATGTTGAGAGTGAGAAGATGATAAGGTATGCTGACGTCGACGAGAAGGAGGTCGATGCTGATGACAATGATGACGACGACGAGGATGATGAACGTGACGATGACCATCAGTATCATGCTTTTGACGATGCTAAATCAAAGTGACGAACTTGGTGACCGCTTTAGGGAAGCGATCGCGACAAGAATGCTTCAGTCAGTGATCGTGAAGGGGACGACGGCCAAAGCGACCATGACCTGCTGCTGATGATGACGGCGTTGCTGACGACGACGATGATGAACATGATGCTGCTGCCGTCGTTGATGATGATGGTGATGATGACGAAAATGATGTCTCCCATGTTGAAATGAATTCTGTTTGCATTGGCACTGCTATCAATGTTGAAGAATAAGATGATGGAGATAGTTAAGAAGGCTATGATGACGAGCACACACACACACACTATTGTGTGACGGTTGCTCGGTGGAGTCTGCGGGGCTAAGGTCTGACATTGCCCAGCTGTGCCTGCGGATCATCTTCTGGACGATCGATGTGATGCTCCAACTGGACAGTCACCGAATGTGGGGCTCTTCTGCTATTCCCAGTGACATCGTGGATAAAAATTGCTCTCCAAATCGTTAGTACATCATTCGACAAGTTCCAAGAGTCGAAGAATGAAATCCTCCTGCGCTCGTGCCTAGCTTCTGAACAACAACCTGACATCAAGTGCTTCAAAATATGCATTGACTCATGAACGCCTCCCTCCAAATTACGAATCCAATTTTCGAACGTGGCTTTCCCCGCTTCTGGCCTCTTGTATGAAGATCACCCTTGAATTTGGACCGCCAGCAGTTCATATTGCTGAGCTTACACGGGTTCTTGCGAGACGGTCTAAGCTTGAGCCATGGGGCCAGAAGCAACCATGCACCCTTAAGTCTTAGCCCAAAACCTTAACTCTGCTACTGGTACCACGAGTAAAGTGGTACCAGCAAGAGGAGCTGATCCGATGCTGGCCGGGGATGCAGGGGGTGCGGGGAGGTGCGGGGAGGTGCAGGGCCACATCTGGCCACCATTCTCGCCCACGAAGGGGGCGGTTTGCGTAGAGGCTCTGGTCTGAGGACTCCCCAAGCCTCACCTCACGAGGCCTAAGGCTTACCACAGACTGGCCCAAACTCTGCTGCGAGAGTCTCTGGTAATGAGGGAACCAAAAAAACAGCATCGCGCCTCGGTAAAAACCAAACCGACATGTACCCATAAACCCAAAGGCTCGGATTTGGTCTGAGAGCTCTTATGGCAATCTCGCCAGGCCTTCGTCGTCACGGCGCAGGAGCCTACTTGCAGCCTCCCAGTGACCGTACGAGATGTTCGGAGCCAAACCAGACGCAATCACAGAGCAACGACCAACAAGTTATATCGCGGTAGAAAACGTGAATACTCTTGGGGCAGCAGTTCACGGCAAACGACCACTTGAATCCTCAGCCCCAAGTCAAGTCGAAGTCACAGCATTAGCCTGGTTCAACAAACACGGCCCAAGCAGGCACACCTCTTGGATGTCCCGCTGATGGCGTGTGTTGCGGCGGGAGCTGTCTGTGCGGAGGCTTCCGGTCCAAGGGGGGATACAGAGCTTCAAGATTTCATTCTCAGATCGAAGTGACATGGACGGTCCCAGGGACCTCCACCTCGCTTTTCGACACGGACGGCTTCCCGGATACAGATCTTCAAGGCTGGGACACAAACACTTTCATAGGCATCCTGAATGCTGGCGCTAAAACTTGGGGTGTCTACAGTGCCAAGCTGCCTTTGGGACCTGCTGGAGAGCAGCTGCGTTCCGTTCAGTATGCCGTCCAAGCCCCCCCCCCCCCCCCCCATTTGCACATTTTCTGCAAACCCTAAATCCTGCAGAATCCTGCAGACCTGGCCTCGTCGCATCCCGTCCTCCTGAGAGTGGTCGTTGTACTTTGGACAACGGGGAGAGACTGGACGGAATAGCGTTGCCGTCGTCGTAGCAGTAGAAGTGGTCGTCGCCGTCGCAGTTGTAGTAGTCGTCGTGAAAGTGTGGTCGTAGTAGCGATGGTAGTCGTTGCTGTGCCAGTAGTAGTAGTAGTAGTAGTAGTAGTAGTAGAAGAAGAAGCAGTAGCAGTAGCAGTAGCAGTAGCAGTAGCAGTAGCAGTAGCAGTAGCAGTAGCAGTAGCAGTAGCAGTAGCAGTAGCAGTAGCA